TCAGTTGCTAAAGTGAACACAATGAGAATGTTGCTATATGTTGTCATTAACCATTGTTGGCCTCTATGTCAAATAGATGTGAAGAATGCCTTCTCACATGGTGACCTCAAAGATGAAGATGTTTTTCTTGTTAGGAATTGTTATTAGCACTCCAAAAATCTCATTTCGCACTCCAAACTTTCTATAATTAGAAAGAAAAATACACTTGTGAGGAGTGTAGAATGAGATTTTTGAAGTGCTAATAACAGTTCCCTTTCTTGTTATTGTAAATAGATAGATTGAGCGTGATTTAAGAAGTTATTGAAGGAGTGATTTTGAAGCATGTTTCTTCTTTTCTCTCCTTCCTTCTATACATGTTTGAGTCTTGTAAATGTTTTCTCATGAAATATTCATCAGAAGTTCCTCACTCTCCTTCACGTTCCTCACTCTCTCTTTCCAAAATGGACTGACCGATATTCATGCATGATCCTAGTAAGATTCCTAACATGATTCCATGTACGCCTGCAATTATATCTAATTCTTGAGAAGAACTTCACTTGATTAGAAAAAAGTTGACTAACCCTTGTCGCTAATTTCCTTAACATGCATGCTAAACTAACCTTATCACTTATTTTTCTTCACGTACTTTTTCTTCCTTCCATTAAAAGGGGCTCATTGAGACCATATGTTAGTTTTCCCCTGTAATCTTTTATTATATATATCTCATGAAGTTGACATGTGTTGATAGGAAGACATGCATTGTACACAAGCAATTCTCTAAAGATGAAGCTACTCAACCATGTTAACGACAATTACTCATGAGAATCACCATTCATTATTGATTGATGTGAAGTCTCACACAGTAATTGATACAAACTAACATATGGTTGGGTTATGTATAAAAAACATATTTCAACCATGTGAAGTCTTACACGGTAACTGATACAAACACTTATTTGTCTAACAACAGACAATAATTATTAATTTCCTTCTAATCAAAAGAATCCGATTGAAATATGATTAGTATAATAAAAAACAATCAAGCAAAATATTCCCTCAAGTTATTAATTAATTTATATTAGTTCTGATTAATGTATATAATTGTTAATCACCTTTATCTTTTAGCTGTTTGAAACAAGATCGCAGTCATCAACTTCCAGACCCCACATTGTGATTTAAAGGAGAGCTATGAATTTTCCAAAGTGCACTTGCAAGGTCACCATAGCTTGAGTGCTGAAAATTATTGTCGATGAAATCATGAAGTAATGAACTTTTTCATCCTTTAAAATTAAAATAAATGCATAAACGTTTTCCTGTTTGAGATTTATAAGTTAGACTTCGCGCGGGATGGATCATTATTGACCTTAAACCCGAATTAATTATCACAAAATCTTTCCTTGCTCCCCAAGAGTGATCTCCACATGTGAGTCTCCAATACGAAGGGGACTGATAAAAAAAAAAATTATCCATAAAACAAATTGTGTTAAGGGATCATTTCTGAGCTGAGCAATCAAATTATTAGATTTTGTAAACATATCATCTCATTTCTTTATGGTTATGGTAAAAAAGATAAATTATAATCTTATTATAATCGCGATTAAAGTAAATAATCTGATAATTTTTCATGCTCATTGGCCACTCACATCGAATAGCCAAAAAGGAAGAAAAAAATATAGGGAAAAAGGCACAACAGCCATGCTATACGTGGCTATGTGTGGATTAATGTAAAAGTTGTACCAATTGTCATCCATTCCTTCATGGCAATGTGGAAAGAATACGTCTTGAAAAGGAGTTCCAAACAAAGCAGAGCAACACCTGGCACTTCAAAGCTCCCCAAGACGACTCCTAAAGCGCATACGAATCAAAATTACTGTAGTGTGCAGTATAGTAAAGGGTAAAAAGCATAGAAAAGAAGTCTCTCTTTTTCTTTTTCTCGTGACAAAAGAATATAATATGGTATGCATCGCAATTGTTGAAACAGTAACATTCTTGTGTATAACATATGGCTAAAGGATCGAAAATTATTTGATAAGCGTAAATTCGGCAACAACGCTCAATCATTGTACAATTGGACTGCGGTATTTGATTTAAGCCATGAGTTTCTGTTCAAAGCGACCATCATTACGACCAAGACTTAATATTTTGACCTGATATACAGCCATTTTCAGTCGAATTTCATTATTTATTAGCCTAAAAAGACATTTTAAGTTTTGCAGATATTTTTGATATTTTGTACGTTACTTCCTATAAATGCATCCTTTTTGCAGTTTTAGGGTTGTTGACCTTTATATTATTCAATAAAGCTTTTTTTTTTTCTTTTTTTTTTTTTTAAGAAAAAAAGGAATCAGGTGATGGCTTAACTACGGCGGTCCATCTTTTCGAGGATCGAGAAGACTCACAAAGGCATTTTAGCCTCCCCTGGCCATCATTGTGCAATTCACCAGTGCCAAAAATCAAATTCAGAACGTGTCGTATGAAATACGAGCCTGAAATTCGTCTCCAACAACTGGTCACTCTGTAATGGTTTATTCAATAAAGCTTCGAGTATTACTCCTTTTGCATGATACTTTGTTCGATTTCTTTACCTATTGTATCACGTTGTGTCATCTATATACTCATTTACGTTTTACATATATAAATTTCAATCATCCATGTAAATATAAAAATCAACAGAATATAGTTTTATTTTTTGTGTGTAATATATGCATTTCAATATATGTATTTCAATCCAAGAAGAGAGGCTTGTACACGTTTTTTAATTAGGATTAATTTGGGACTGGCAGGTGTTTTTCTTGTCGCTTTACTGTATATCAAGACTTAATTAGAAGCAAATATAATAGAAGTTTAACACAATTATGTATCCGAATATTCTCTTGAAAAACCAAAGATCTTAACAGATCATCATTCCAATTTTCCGACGGAGCATGTGCTTAATTGATCAAATCTATATCTAAATTATATTATCGTCCGAATAATTCGATCACATGTAAACTATATATACTTTATTTCCGCTGGTCCAACACATATGGATGCTACCTCTTTCTGCCTAAAACACGTAATTAAATGTTCGTTTGGATATACTTTTAAAATGATTGAAAACGTTTTTAGAGAAAATGTTTTTGGGTTTCAAAAGTATTTAAAGTGTTTTCTACAAGAAACATCAGTTATGTACTTATTTCAAGAAGTACTTTAAGTGTTTTTGTAAGATTTACTAGCATTTTTAGTAAGGATTATTTTGAAAAATATTTTCATCTAAAACGATTTTAATCATTTTAAAAGTACATCTAAACGAGTTATAAATTAATGAGATAGTAATTAGCATCACGACCACCAACCAAACTGCTACATGGTGATTCCAATTCCTACCAAAATTAAATATGGAAAAGTATGGCAACCTTTCAATGACGGTGACACCACCTAGAGACCAAGCCTTTTAGGGAAAGACGACACAATCTCAGCCACTCGTATAATGAATACATTGAATAGGCATTTGACACCTATAAGGCGCTTGAGGAACCCAGCATTTCCTTTCCTTTCTTTTTTCCGTAGGCACACCACAAAAGAAGATACCCTACAAAGAAAATAAAGCCAAGATAATTAAAAATAAACGTATGTGGTTGGTTACTTGAATTTCTATGCATTTAAAGTTAAATTCAACGCCTAAGTGGATGATGATGATGCATAAGCAACTTCATTAGTCTTAATTAATTGATTGGAATATTTTATCAGTCTTGGGGACGTCAACTCTCTGACCCTATAATGTTGAAGCATGTTTCAGATTGAAAATCGAATGAAGTTAAATATTCATTATTTAAATGGTTTTATTTTACCCTTATTGAGATGGTAGTTACTTTGACACATGATATTAAGCATACCCGTTGGTGGCCATGGCCAACAATTAAAATCTCGTGAGCAAGAAAGAATTCTCAAGGGAACATCTTCGACCAATCTAATAATATAGGACGAATTCGAGCTTATGGACCACAGCAGTTTTTGTATTCGAAATTTTCGAGTAAGCTAGATAGCAGCAAAGAAGGAAAGGTCAATGCATACTTTCTATGTCTTGTGCTTCTAATTTTGGAAATGGGACCGGAGTGACACTACTTTGAATTATATATCACTCCCTTTAGTGAACATTATCTCCGCCTCAAGCACAAAGTAGTCTAATGGCCAAACCAAATGCAGGAACTGGACATAAATTTTAAGCTTCGATACATGCAACATTTTCACTGACATCAAATCATATCATGTGATTATGGAAAATGGGAATGCGAATTTAAAAGTAGGACCTGGTTTTGGTTCCCTTTGAAATAAAATATAGATTTATAAGTTTTTGAAATAAAATATAGATTTATCCTTTTGCTATAATATATATACCCTTAGATTATTACCTTTGCCAAAGCTCAAGGAATATTAAAATACAGTAGCAATGGTAATATATACGACATAATTTGATAGCCAGATCTTTGTCAAGTTGTCATTTGAATTTAATACAAGAATAAGAGAGAAAAATAAACCGAATATAATTCATTTTTTAGTTTAAAGGGGTGTTTCAAACTCTGAATTTTTATTTTATTCTTATATCCATAGGCATTAACAAAAAAAATTCATTCAACAACAAACAGTAGCTAAATGATATTCTTTTATCCTCAATCCACCAGGTGGCAAACAATTATTAAACGAGTGATAAATATGTATGGTATAAGATGATTGCACAATACAAGAACCTAACAAATGCCTTGCGAACACGTACACCAACTAAACCAAAGTAGGAAAGAAAACACTGTGTTAATTGAATACATGCATCACCCCTTGCAAACCTAGATTACTCAATCCAACTGAGTTGGTTGGGGTCTCTTTCTGGTAGAAGTCGAAGTAATAAACAGCACTACTATTTCTTTTTGTTTTTTCTTGTTATTTTATTTTATTTTATTTTATTATTTTTTTTATGCAGTGATCTGCTGCTTGCTTAATTCTCGTGCCTTCGGTCACTTTATAAGGCTCGTCACATGTCTTGCTCTCTTGCATGTGATCCTCCTTCCTTCCCCTATTAATTCCTCTCTTCCCTGCCAAACATTTTCTCTACTCTGAGTCCTCTCCATTTACCTGAATCCATAACTCTCTCTCTCTCTCTCTCTCTCTGGGGTCGATCATCATAGTGCAACATTTTCTGAAATTATGATACCTCTTGGGCAGGAAACGAGCATGACAAACACTCCACCCAACATTCTACTCTCTAATCTGAATCGCCCCGATCAGAATGGTTTGGTTCATGCCGAACCCTCTGCTTCATCAAGGACTAATGTGAACCCATGTTTGGGTGATGACATGACGGACCAGCCCCAACCAACCTCTCACAGAGCTTCCATTTTGCACCAATCATTGCGCCCGGTAACACTCAAGGTAATTCAAAAAGAAAACATAACAAATTCGCACCTTCAATAATTTGCGAGTAATGATTTTTTACCAAATAATTTGGCATGTTATGTTACACGTAACATGCAAGTATTTAAGTAAAATGTTTGAGAAGAAAAAAAAAGAAGTGGTACTATTATAGTAGTTAATATTTACGTAATTTGACATTTCGCTACAGTTTGAAGATGTCGGATACAGTATTAAGCTGCAAACAGCAAAGGGAGGTTGTGTTGCTTCACATGAGCCAAAACCAACACGCACTGTACTCAACGGAGTGAGCGGAATCGTTCGACCCGGTGAGCTACTCGCAATGTTGGGGCCATCCGGCAGCGGTAAGACCACTCTCTTGACCGCCCTGGGCGGCCGCTTGCCGAATAAAATCTCCGGCAAGATAACATACAATGGCCAAAATTTCTCAAGCTCCATGAAGCACAACACCGGCTTCGTGACGCAAGATGACGTCTTGTACCCTCACCTCACTGTTCTTGAGACCCTAACCTACACTGCCTTGCTAAGGCTGCCCAAGCAGCTCACAAAGGAAGAGAAAATAGAGCAAGCTGAGACGGTGATAATGGAGCTCGGGTTGAACCGGTGTCGTGATGGTATAATTGGTGGGCCTTTACTACGTGGCGTTTCAGGTGGTGAGCGAAAACGGGTCAGTATCGGGCAGGAGATGCTTGTCAACCCGAGCCTTTTGCTTTTGGATGAGCCCACTTCTGGGCTCGACTCCACCACGGCCCAGCGTATCATTGTCACGTTGCGGCGGTTGGCCCGTGGTGGACGGACGGTGATCACCACCATCCATCAGCCGTCAAGTAGGCTGTACAGGATGTTTGATAAAGTGGTGGTGCTGTCGGACGGGTACCCAATTTATAGCGGACATGCAGGTCGGGTCATGGATTATTTTGGGTCCATTGGATACGAGGCCGGGTTCAATTTCATCAACCCGGCTGATTTTTTGCTTGATCTTGCTAACGGTACGAAATTTATTCTCTCATTATTAGCTTTGGTTTTTAGTTTCTAATATCACTATTTTATTTCCCTAGCAATTTTTAATTTCATTTGATAAACATGCATTTTTAATATATCTAAGAAAATTAGAGAATTTGACGTGTTTTTAAAACAAAATTTTACTTTATGAATAGTAAATTTGATTGACGACATTTAATCGATATATCGACATATCAAACGGTGAGACCAAAACATCACTCACCTTTAAAGATGTTCCTAATTTATTAACTACCAGTCTTAGTACATGTCAACCTCACGACTCACCCACACGTCACAAACTAAACTTGATTATGCAAGTTTGTGGAGCTTTTAGCACTTAATCGTTCGGGTAAGAGTCCATTTTTTTCACAACAATATTAGTGCGTTGAGTGAGTGGTCCACAAAGAAAAAGGCTTCATCGCACTGACGGCCCCGTGAATAGAATAGAAGGCAAAGGCAGACCACGTCCCTTTTAGTCGATCGCACTTTGAAAGCCGAGAAAAATTGAAAGGAACCTCTCAACTCACCACTCATTCTCAGAGAAGGAGGGGGCTCACATGGACATATGGACTTGGTTGCCAACCCTAGAGCCTAAGACCAAAACTAGGTTTCATACTTTTTTATCCCATCAAACACCAAAGTCAATGCTACAACCCTTAGGCATAGAGAAGTGCTTGCATGACAAGATATCCCCCGCCGCGTAAAGTCTTTTGTCAATAATATAAGAATATATGATCATTGTTTTATTAGTAAGAAGTGCGACCATTACAGTAAACCTGTACCATACAAGTTGTTATCCTATGCATGAACAAACTCATACAATCTGATTTAACCCTCATCTGAAATTTTTTTGTTTTGCATCCTTTTCATTTAATTCTGACAAATTAGTTACCACCTGAAATTGATGGGACAGTGGACTCATTACCATGGGTATTGGGTTGTGGACGAGGAAGAGAACTTACAAGCAACTTCGACTTCAAAGATATAGTGTTATCCCAAACCAATTACATTGACGTTCAAGTTGCATGTGAATTTGATGAGATAAAATGAAGCACAAAATGGACTTTATATCACCACTAACCATCAAGAAATATAAACATAGTGGGATATACATTGTTTTCTTTGTCTGAAATTTAATCCTTTTTTCTAGGATGATTGGCCTTAATAATTGTACTATGTTTCAGGTACCACAATTTTGACCATTTTAATTAGAATTTTCTTGGATATTTTTTTTACAAGCAGGTATAGCACCTAATGCTAAACAAGATGAGCAAGTAGAGTATAGTGGCAGATTAGACCACCAAGAAGAACAAAACACAACCAAGCAGTTCTTAATATCTTCCTATAAAATGAATCTATACCCTGCATTGAAGATAGAGATTCAGCAAACTCAGAAAGACACAGTTGTTTCTTCTTCAAGAATACCATCATCCAGAGGTAACTTTCAATAGATCAGTAACTCTCTCTAGCTAGGTGATAAATTACTCTTTGATTTGAGCTGTTATTTAACTGGATTTTCAGCTGGAAATTCATTTCTGCTATGTATGTTATGTAGGTAGAGGAAATTATCAATGGACCACCAGCTGGTGGGAGGAATTTAGGGTTTTGCTGGAAAGGGGTTTAAAAGAGAGGAAGCATGAATCTTTCTCAGGCTTAAAGATTTTCCAAGTCATGTCAGTTTCAATTCTTTCCGGTCTTTTCTGGTGGCATTCTGACATTTCACATATACAAGATCAGGTACTCTAATTTCCTATCATCTCTGCTCGTTTGGTAACAAATTCGTTTTCAGTTTTCAGTAACTAGTTTTCATTTTCAGTTTTTATTTCCCTTAAAATGAAATCTGATTTTAAAACCAGGCTAGTTTTGGACTTACAATAAAAAGCAATACTAATCAAGTAGCTTGAACAGGTGGGACTTCTTTTCTTCTTCTCCATATTTTGGGGTTTCTTCCCTCTATCCAACGCTATATTTTCATTCCCCATGGAAAGACCAATGCTGATAAAAGAACGTTCCTCGGGCATGTACCGTCTCTCATCCTATTATTTTGCGCGAACTGTCGGTGATTTGCCAATGGAGCTTGTGCTCCCAACAGTCTTTATAACGATAAGCTATTGGATGGGGGGTCTCAAGCCTTCACTGGTCACATTTGCACTAACCCTCTTCATTGTTCTTTACAATGTGCTAGTCTCTCAAGGCCTAGGGCTAGCACTAGGAGCCATTCTAATGAATGTGAAGCAAGGCACAACTCTGGCTTCTGTGACAATGCTGGTGTTTTTACTTGTCGGTGGATATTACATTCAGCACATTCCGCCTTTCATAGCTTGGTTGAAGTACGTTTCCTTCAGCCACTACTGCTACAAGCTTCTCGTGGGAGTGCAGTACTCGGCACATGAGGTTTATGAGTGTGAGATGGGGATGCATTGTAGGGTGATTGACTTTCCTGGTATTAAGTGTGTAGGTCTTGATAATATGTGGATAGATGTGGCTGCATTGGCTGTGATGCTGGTGGGATATAGGTTTTTGGCTTATATGGCATTGAGGATGGGGCAACCTCACTGACTTCCTTGAATCTTGACGATGATAGATCAGAACCTGACATGCAGCGTTGCAGCTAAAGAATTTGATGACGTACGTTTGGATTTCCAATTCAATTGAATAATTGAAGGTTTTGAATTGATATTGTGAACCAAGACTTCATGCATGCTGGATGGAGAAATCGTAATTAATTGTATTCCTTCACAGGGAAATTGATATGATGTTAATGTTATTAATTGTCAGTTTTTTTTTTTTTTTTTAAATTGAAATTAAATTTGCTGATAACATGCCTCATTCCATTAGAATGTGAAACAACAGAACTGTTAAATAACTAGAGAGAATTTCAGTATGTGACATGTCTTTGTAAATTTTTCTGTCAAAACTATCCGTCTCTTCTTAATTTCCTAACTCCCATGCCCTTGCCCTCAATGTTATTGCCAAAGTTCTAACTTATGATCCTAATCCATGCTCAAAAATAGCAAAGGGTGAAAATTTGAAAATGTGAATAAATTAGACGATTTACTAGTAAAGATCCATCAAATGAAGCTGGTGAGATAAAAAAAACAAAGGTATGAAAGGGTCCGAATCTAAACTTTCTCAATCCCACAAATATACGTCTTCATTATCCGGAGCTCAGTTACTAAAACTTGCAGGCTGTATACCAGTTTTTCTGTGGGCTGCAACATGGGTTTACTTGAACCTGCTTGGACTTGTTTTGGTGAAGTAACCAAGCAAATCATTTTTTAGCAACTGATCAAATTTCAGAAGTAGTTACCTAAATGCAACAGACAGTTCTGCAGTGCTGCAAATGGTGTTCTGGTAAAACGTAGCATTTCCTGAGCTGGCTGGCTTTTACTTGCTTTAATACAGTAAAAAGTTCTGCCATAATCTTCTTCAATGCTGAAAAATTGAAATTGTAAGTTGAATATCAAAGTACGCAACGAACTAACTAAATCTATTAAACAAGAAATACGGAATTGCCAAGAAGGCTACATGAGCTAAAAAGGCTACATCTTGACTGAGTTGTTTCCATAGAGTTACAAAGTATATATGGAAAATTAACCTCACCCTAATAAGCAAGGAAGCGAAACCCTTATACTAACCCAAAAAATCAAACATTAAAATAAACCTAAATACTATATAATATTTTCCAACACACAATTATTGGATTGCAATTTATATCAAAATTTCAAATGAGACGCAACCATGCACAGGTGCTAAAACGCTATAATCGGATGTTTTAGGGGGAAATTTAGTGCAGCATTTGGAATAATAAGAAAATCTGTTAGGCCACACGCATGGATTGATGCCTACATGATTTCTTTACAGAAAGTGGATGTACTTCTCAGTAGGTTTAAGCAAACCGAAATCAACTAGCCACCAATGCGCGCACTCGAATACGTATCCAATGATGTCATTTTAGATATGTCTCGATTAAGCATCCGATTCAGCACCATCTCCCAACAGGCCACCAGTCCATTTTTATTCCCTTCGCTCATGTGCAATCACATCTCTGTTCACCTTATATCTGCTTCTGTAGGATTCTAATTCCGTGTTACAATTACGAGCTTCGACTATAAATTGGTTGAATCGTAGTAGAGCTAACACTTGAGTCCAGACGGGAAGCAAATACTTTAGTGTATAAGATTAACAAAATCGAAATGGCATCACTCAAGGCCGAGAAACCCGTTGGCACTCAACCCTCTGCCGGGCAAGCCAAGAAAGAGCCTGCACAGAAAGCTAGTGGTACCACGCCCAAAGCTCCGGCCTCCAAACCCGCCCCTAAGAAGGCTGAGACAAAGCCTAGGGAACCTAGGAAGAAGGTAAGCATGACTAAATACATCCATATAATTTCATACTTATGCGGCAGTAAAATATGTGCTTATTAAAATCTTAATTTTTTTTTTTTTGTGACGGATTTATCAGACAACAGGAAGCAAGCCTGCAGCCAAGAATTAGACTAAAGCAACGGCGTTAGGCGAGGAGTGCATGAAGATTCTAAATCACTGTGGTCTTCCATAGTTCATATATTCTGATAATACTATGTATCTCCTTTTAGGCTTGGCCTAATAAATAAAATATACCGTTATTTTAGAGGAACCTCTGCTTGGTATTTGTTTAAACTACAAGAAATATTAATTTGTAAACACATAAGGCCTTCAGAAAGGCGTTCGTAAATCTGAATCATGGATTACACAACAATAGTGCAAGAATATGAAGATTCTGAGAAAGTTCAAGCGTTTAATCATGAAAAATAATCCATAGGTTCTGTGTATGTGTGCGTTTTCACCATCCGGAACCTCCATAGAGAATCTATCGTTTCCGTTCTAATATTACACAGTGTTTTAAGTGAATTTAAACAACTTTGATCACAAAAAGGAGGAAAGGAAAACATATCAAGAACTCAAGTTTCTTGGTAAATAAGGTTTGATAATGTTATTAAAAAAAATGATAATTCATAAGAAAAATGCTCATGTTGAAAGCAAAACATTAAACTTTGATCTATTATAATAACGCTAAACCTGAACCCAAAAAAGAAATAATGCTAAAGAGAGAATCTGATAAAAGTGAAATAGATAGAAGACTTGTAAGATTACGGGGCGTTAAATTTGCGAACTTGATGCATCAGATGATCAGACAATACGAGAGACTGCAAACTGCAATGCTGTATAAGTTGTACTGCAAACATGCAACCAAGCTGGATTGTTCCGTTTCTAGTTGGCTAAAGATCATCTGCGCACATACCGTCCTGTTGTCTGATAAAATCAAATACATATATGCAACCCCATAAGTTACAAGATCAATGCTAAAAACAAAACAGGAAAGAAGAATAACAAGGACCTTCTTCATTCATAGCCAGTTAAGAGTCAAAGAAGAAAGACATAACTAACTCCATTTCTACAATTCATACAAAATGATCTTTTCTCATGAAAAATGAACTTAAGACAGTTTAAAAATAAGCATTTATCTCAGCTCGGCCCTTACAGAATATCGGATAATACTGTCACCATCGCCCACATTTACAATTTAAAATTTAGGTGTAGCCAAGTTGGCTAGGACATTGTGCCCCCTTTGCACTCACAATTCAAATTCCCTTCCTCATCCTTCAGATTAGATTAAAATATTGCCCGATAATGTATATTACTCTTTCGACATGGACGTACATATAATGTCACATTCACAGACATGCACAGCAGCACAGAGCAAAACCCACATCCGTTTTTCTATTTTGCCAGTGGATGTGATTTTTGAGCCCCGAAGACTGGTCTTCCAACATTTGGTTATCTGAAAGTTCGGACATTTAAGTGCACATAATTTCATAGTCTCATGGATCGCACTAGGAGCAATGGATCGCGGTAGTTTTTCGTGATTTTCGATTGTATTTTTCACTCCCAGATCCACTTCCATTGTATAATGAAATTCCAGAAGACCCCAAAAGTCTAAGAATCACAAACTTATTTCCGAAAAGAAGCGTATAATTATGTTCGTGATCGCATGTTATTCGTTTAAAACGCCATTCACCCATTTGGCAAAATTTGATTTCTCTCATAATTTCAGTATATATAATCAAGCAATAAGTCAGCAAAAGCATCTGATGCCAACGCAGCCTTCAAGTGCCAGCTCTCTGCCATTTTTTCCAGTACCAGTTATTCCATTCTTTTAAAAACACCACTATCCCTTTGCCACCTTGTATCATAACTTGTTATTCTAATTCCTTTTTTACGGTGGTGAACCGCAGTTATAAAAAGGGGAGGTTCAGAAGCAGCCTATAGTCATAATCACACGATAAATTTTTCGTATCTTTGAGAAACCAGAATTTAGAGGAGTATGGCATCCATGAAGGCTAAAGTGCAACTCGGCAGCCAACAGTTCGGACAGGGCAAGAAAGAACCTGCCGTTGCCAAGGCTGGTGATGGCGGAGCCAAAGCCCCGGCATCTAAGGCCGCCCCAAAGAAAGCTTCTGCCGCACCGAAGGCTCCCGCACCCAAGAAGGTATATGCACAAAGTTATCAGTTATTTTCACAAACACCGTGGGCTTCATATTCTCGCATTTCAGTCACCTTCTTGCCTAGTTAATTTGGTTTCACTAACAAACTGATGATAACTGACAGGGTAAAGACGGCAAAGCTGCAGCAAAGAAGTGACCAAAGCATACAGAAAAAGAGAACGATTTCATTTCGTTTTCTCATGGTAACTTTGATCTAATCCATGTAAAGCCATCCCAATGAAATAAAAACTCACGTTTAGCTATAGACTACTGGTCTTGTCTATAATCAAACTCAAATACAGCGCGCAAAGGCGCAAATGCATGTTTTCAGGATTTGAGAATATAAGATAACATGTTTGAGTAAATGAGCTAATTACCCGCAGATCAAAAGCTATTTCACTTCAAATCACAAAATATGATTTGCTAATTAATACTTTGGTATGAACAATAACAAGGGTACGAAAATGTTTGATATGAGACATGAGAATAGGGTAAATTTGAAGGTTGCACAAAAAATAAGGGGTAAAAACTTCACCTGTCATTAATGATATGTACAAAATGGATAATCAATCACAAAGAAACTCAAAGGAGGGTTGATAAATGAGACAAATTGGCTAGAATGGGCTGACACGGTGAGCCAACTTCAACATGCACTCAGGTACAAGGCGCCTTCTTGGCGGAGCCACTGCATCTTTGGCAAGAGCCTCTGAATCACCTTCATGAATGATAGCTACTAAATCTTCGAACATATTGTCTCTACCACCACGCATTGGATCCTGGATAAACACATCCACCGAATATATTTAATATACGAGACTTCTTTTTCTTTTTTTTAGTGTGTTTTTTCCTTCTTGGGGAGAGGGTTTTACGAAACAGGCAAATCAGAAAAGAAGTGTCTTTAATGCTCCCTTACCTGAAGAAACAAATCCGTGTGAGTCTTCCCTTCATAAAGAATCAATCTAGCTGTCACTCCAAGTCTCTGAAGAGTTTCTGCAAAATTCTTGCTGCACAGAGAACATGGTTGTCAAAGCCTGTGAGCATAGGAACCATATTCTGAATAGTATGTTTTCCATTCTAGTATACTATTAAGCGATACTAAACTTAAATACTGAACTATAAGAATTTAATTCTGAAGAGCCAGCTATACAGATTCGCACTATTTCCATTGGAATCAAATAATTCATTTCAGGGGAAATGCATACCTGGCATCTGATGGTATTGAGTAATCTGCAGTACCATGAAATAAAATAATAGGGGGTAGGAGAGAAGCAGCATTTCTAACGTTTGGGTCCTGAATCATGAGTTCTGGAGAGAAACGTTGCAATGATTGTTCTCCTTCCATTATGCTGTGAGAGGTTTTGGAGTCATAAACATTTAATGCAATTCGGGGTAAAAATATGAAACTACAAGAGTATATATGTATGATCAACTTTCTCGGAGAGCAAGAAGGTCCTTACCCTAAAAAGATTGAACGGTATAGACCTCTGTGGTGGAAGTGATCCACTAAGTTAAGCAAATTGTATCTGTTTGAGCATGTCAGAATGAGAAGACTAAGTGAACACAGAAACATCACAACCAAAAAAATACATAAAACAAAACAGCAGGTGAATTCAGCAAGATCGGATTGTGGATAATACCTCTCATATTGATAACTTAAAATCAATGATTATTCATTTTAATCAAAACATTTGTCACCTATAACTTTAATAACTATATTCATCTTAGACTGTCATTACCCTCCAGACAGACCAAAGTAAGCCTTTATCTGGGAGACACTCCAAGAAGAGCTCTCTCCTTCGCCTGCCTCCTTAATTGCCTGGTCAATGAGGGTGCAGGCACCAATATGTGCACCAGCAGATTGTCCCATCAGATAAACCCTGCACAAACATAGCATTAGCCACTAGAATTGCCTCCACGACAGAAAAAATGATACAAAAATAAGAACATAATTTATTACCTATTCGGGTCGCCTCCATAATCAGCAATATGATTGCACACAAATGAGATGCCTTGAGAAGCATCCTTTACCATGTCACTGATAGTACCCTGAGGGAAATTTCTGCATGAAGATGTCATGTCAACTAGTTTTTTTCAGAGAGGCTCAAATCTCCGTATATTTAGAAAGGAACTTCAGCAGAACAGAGTTTCATTTAGACAACCGATATCAGTTATTTGTAGTATGTGTGCTTGCTTGAAGTTTATATTCACCTATAATCTATACACGCCACTATGATGTCTCTTTCTGATAACTGTTGTCCCAAAAGAGAACCCCATGCTTTGTAACTGCATTAGCAAAAATATGTTAAGAATAGATAAGCAGTAATCTGTTGTGAAAAGAAGGCAACTAAGACCATATTTGAACAAACAAACAAAAAATATGCCATTGAATCTACAATTCAGGCATAAGAAACAACAGAACTCGGAAAAGTAACCTCTCAGCTCCACTGCTTCAGACTGACATTCCGAAAACCAACAGAAATGTAAGCTTACTGCTAGCTTAGACATTTCATGGAATTATTCAAAAATAAACTGCCAAGGATCAACATCACTCACCCAATAATCCAGGCTCCACCAGTTACAAATGCAATGACTGGCTTCGGCCCATCACTATTTTTGGGTAGATATAGATCTAGCCTGCAGAACAAAACTTCAGGCATTAATGCTGAAACACAAATGAATATTGTCCCAAATACATACAAAAACATTATGATATTCGTATCCTACCTATTTCTTGGTTGATCACCATAAACTATACCTCTGCGAACCTGACGGGAGAAGAAATAATAATAGCCAACTTCAAAAAGAAAGGTGGGTTAGTCATGCTTCCCTGAGTCCTCTATGTCACGGTCATGATAATGCCTACAAATTTAATTTATGAAACGGACCCTAAAAAACATGTATAATGTCTAAAAGGTATGCAAGAGGTCAAGCATATATGTACGAAAGTAACAAACCTTGAATAAAACCTGGCATAAGTAAAAATGAATAGCAACCAAGGGCAAGAAATCTTTTAATCCATCTGTAGCCTACCCTGAATAAAAATATACGATCAGGAAGCATCTAACCACACGGATAAGTTTTATAATGAGTCTCGCAGAAACAGTACAATATATATATAGTTGAAATTCCAAATACCATGTAACACAACAAATCATCTTTCGTTCTACAAAATACAAAACAGAAGTGACTTCTGAAACCAAATCTTCTCTCTTTCTAATGTGAAATGTTTAGGACGACGATTTTTAGAGGTTGTCCCATTTAAGTATTTCCAAATTTCCAACCAGTTTACACTCCTTCCATTTTGCACGATTTAGGTTGTCTCTTTGTTACAACCTTATCAATGTTCTTCCAACACTCATTAGTGTTGTTCTTATGTGAGCGTAATGGCGTGACGGTCGAGTTTCCCTAGTTACATGAATGTAAAATGACTCTATCTGATGTCCCAATTTTCCAATCAATAATTCCAGTATTAGTTTTTCATCTAAATTTCCCCCAAAATATAATTCCTTAATTAAAATTTTATCTTCTGAAGATTTTCATCTCAACCCAACACCTTAAATCTAATTTCATGGGAGATCCAGCTACAATAGTATATTTTTACTCTTAGTTTACCAGGTCACTTCAAAAGACACCATTTTTACAGCTCTAACTCAGTTGGGACTAAAATTTAAGTCCCTTGAATTCCAATCCAAATGACAATATGGGTACTCAAAAACATCCAAAAACAGTTAAATCATCAAATCCAAACACAATAAAGCAGAGAAATTTTGAATACCCAAGATATTTTAACAGCTTCAAACTCAACCGCGTGACCAAGAACGTCTCGGCAGCAGCGTGCTCCACATCGACAGCAGCGTGCTCCACATCGACGGCCAAGGTGTGGCGGCTGCCCTCATCGGAGTGGGAAGAAAGGGAGCTGTCGCTGGCGGTCCGGCGCCGCCGCTGCTGGTGATTGCTGGGAGCGGCAGCGGAAGTGGTGGTGTAGCTGGATAGAAGTGGTGGTGGAGCGGCAGCGGAAGTGGTGGGGAGGGGGGGGTACACAGGTGTGTTACTTTCTTCATCCTCGAAATTCGAGCACAACAGAAGCCGGGTTGTCGGGTCGTCCTGTGCTTCTTTGAGTAGCGATTTCTGTGGAGGAGGGTGATATGTTATGGGCAGAATCTGTTGGGATGGCATTTTCTAGAGAGAGAAAGTGTTTCTAGAGAGAGAATATTTGGCAGCAAATATTGATGAGCTATGTGAATAACCGTAATAACTGACTGTTTGCTTTTCTGGGTTTTAATAGGGAAGTGTGGAAATCTGGGGAATTGTCAGATATGGAGATCCAAGAGGAAATGGGAGGGAACTGTTAAAATTTGCAGTCTTCAGTCGTTCGGTATGCAGAAGCAAACCAGAGGAGAAAGAGGGAGGAAGTTGGGGTCGTGCAGGCCAGTTGTGTGTTGCCACGTGGGTTGCTGTTATACTGTGAATAGCAACTAAGAAAAGAGATATTTTCCGGATTTATGCAGCCGTGGTCTAGGATCAAATCCTCTGGGAATTTTTTTTTTTCCAAATAACAACTAGAATGATATTTACTAATTGGTTGCAAATGATATTTTGTTGTAATGGCGGAAAATCATACTTATACATTGTAATGTGAATTCGATTTTCACTAATCCTTCTCTCTAAAATATTAACAATTTAATTCTTTAACGTTATCATTTCCATAAATATATTTATTAGGAAAACTAATAAAAAGAACTTGAAAATTTTGAGTTTTAACGATAAGGGTAAAATAAAGGGTAAAGTGAATAGTATCATGACTTTTTAATGTCAAAATATGATTTTTCGTTAAAATGAACAGTATTGTAGACTTTTCGTTAAAACTTTCATCTTCATTTAGTCATTCAGTGGCTTCCCACTTTCAATTGGATGATTACCCTGTTTAATTGGGCTGGTCTAAATGATGGGCTTTGTCTTCATTGTCTCCAATATATCTTGTGAAGGTTGATGGGTCTGGAATTGCAGATCGGATGTTTGTTTGTGGACCTGAATGAGTTGAAGCGTTTTTTGACTCATGAAAGCAAAGCACACGAGCAGAACATAACAACAGTAGGAATTAACAAATCTTAATTCAATTAGCCATGTAATTGATCACAGAAATTAAGCCATTGCTCATGGGCTCATGTCATCACCATTTTCGCAGTGTACTCTAAATATGGCCACGTGAAATTAATATTTTACTCAAATTAGAATTTGTGGGTTTTTTTTTGTTAATATATCTTAGAAGTGGAAGTTGTTGGGGAATTACAGGATGGTGGTCAGTGGGAGGTTGAAAATGATTCTGTGAGTCATTATAGCCCCGAAAAGGATGAACATGGACTGTCATTGTGAAGCTACTAGCTGATCCCCTTTTTTGAATAAAAAAGAAGCATGTTATCTATCCTTATTATAACACGTTGAATGTTACATCACACGACCTGTATTTCCCTTTCCTATAAAAAATTATTTCTCATGTAAGTGGGGATTTTCCCATCACATATAAGTATATCTATTAATTGCACGTGGACATAAACGTTAATTATATTATCTCTCAAAATACTAAGTTAGTATTGAGACATGAAGGGCCAAAGAGATTAGACATTAGTTGATCAGATCATGATTAATTAAGCTGAACCATATACCAAACTGAAACTGCTAATTAAAATGCAAAATGTGGCAGTACTACAAGTCTACAAGTTAATGTTTCCATTGTGCAGATCCATTTGTCTGATGAACCGTGCACGTAGAAAACATTAAAAGGTGCATGCGCATGCAAATATCCGTAAGAAAACGAAATTATAATACGGGCGCTTATCCAAATCCCAGTGGTGGCAGAACTAATAGATGGAAATTGACCAAACTATAAAGTTTAGACAAAGCACATGACCGTAAAAAAAAAATGTTTAGAAGCGTGATTTAAGTTTTTAGGTTCATTGACTAAACTAATATATGTACTTAAATATATATTATGAGCAGTGGTGGAGCCAACATAGAATTATTGGTTGTTCATGATCCCAATACTTTTATAACCTTAATATATTTAATATAATATTTTTTTACGATTCATATACAAAACTGTGATAAATTGAAAGAAAAAAAAAAAGTCAAAAACAATAAATTACAACCTGCAACTTCTTTTGTTCAACCTTATGCATAGTTATTTGTAGCTTTTCTTCTTTCTTTCTTTTGTCTTTCTTCTACTATTTCTTGTGTGCAACCCTATGATCTGCCACAACTGTTAGATAAAATGCTTCACTCGATAGGCCTTGGCAAAAATTGACATAACGTGGCATAACTCGCCAGGTACCCACAAAAAGCTCGACAAAATGATCCAATGCAATTTTTGTTTGGCCGAAATTATAATCTCATTGTTATAAAATTCTGGCTTTGCCATTGATTATGAGTTAGATGTCCAAAAGAAAAGAACCCAATCATACAAAATTGATTTACAGAAGAAAAAAAAAAAACTTAGGAACTCCAATATTAATGTACATCCACCAAACAACCTAATAAAATGAAAATTGATATACTATTGGATTGAATGGAAGAGAATACAATGAGCTTTGCGTGACATATATAACCCTAATTAATCCCATACCCTTTCGTACCAGATAGCTTTGTTCATCTCAACCCAAGTAGCCGGAAGGTTCTAATTCCTAATTATTTGATATTTAATTCTCTTAGGGAGAGCTTTACTTCAGAATAAGGGACCATATGTATTTAATAGTCATACATATCACATATGCATTTTCTTGAAAAAGAAGCATTAGTCATACATACTCCCTTAATGAAGAAGCCGTCTCTTATCCGGTACTCGATGTATGCAGCCACTCATAATATCCATTTCGACGAATTATACTAGGTATAAAAGGTATAAACTGCGCATGGGGTCGAAATTAAATATAACACACCATTAATTTCCTGCTTTCAGAATATTATTATGATGGCTGGAAGGAATTGACGTACGCAGTGTAGCATATTTTAAATAATATTCATGAAACTGTACATGGAAACATAATTCATGTGAAATTTCTAGTTTTTACCATTTATCTGCCCTGTTAAATTTGTCTCACTTTCTCTTCTTTTTTCTTTTGTGATGTTGCTCAGTTTGTTTTGCAGGTTTAGACCTTTAGGTTCGACTTTAGATGGATTAGGTTTCATGTCCCTCCCCCCTCCCTCTTTCCTTGTATCTTTATTGTTTTTGTTTTTAGAGGGATAAGGTTTATGTCCCCCTTTCTTTTTCATATATTTTTTATTTGTTTTCCTTGTAATATGAGGAGTTAAATTTATAGCCCTGATTAGGTGTAACTTATTTTTTATTATTAAAAATAAAATAAAAAATCTCTTATATACTGTCGAAGTTTTCTTAAAAAAATGATGGTAAAGCAACAATGTTAATCTTCATATATATTATGCTTTCAGGCCAAAGTAAAAATCTTAAATCTTCATGAAAATCTGAGAAAGTGATTCTGATTCTCAGAACCATATTGTTGTAAATCTTTAGTACATGTACTGATTATTGTTATTTTCTTTTTCTGTCTCCCGATTCTCTTCATATTTTACATTTGAAATTTTTGTTGACAAGACACATACCGGCCGCGAATTCGAAGATACGCGATTCTGCAGGATGAAGCAAAAATAGAAGGAATTAAAACCAGCTGCTTCCCAATATATCTGTCTTAAAATGATACTTAAAGCAATTAAAAATTCAGTCACTTCAATCTTTATATTACCATATAAGCCTATTCTTTTTACTATATAAGCTGAGAAGGGAGATTCTAAAACATGGTCTCGGATGCGGAGGTACATAGTCTTAACAATTTGAGCTGTACAATATGATCTGTAGCACTTCCGATTAAACTTGGGCAACATATAATACTAATTCATCGGATGCGGAGGTAAATAGTCTTAACGTATAGTGAAAGAATCGGGTTGACCATTTCCATTATTGTATTACACCTTCCTTTCCAACACTCTTGAAGATAATGATCCTGAGTAATCAAGTCAGTCTCTAAGCAATCATAAACTATTAAGCTTAATTAATTAATTAACTAGGCCTGTAGCTGTACTTAACATTGGATCTGATCCTTAATATGCTGGATTAATTTCGTTAAAAACCCGACATATGGTACCGGCTGACGTCACTTGTTCAGTTACATTTCACATACATCTATTTCAAAATTTTCAGACTTTTCCTTATACCTAGAAAAACTAGGGAGAATTTAAATGGTTGGTTTATCACTTAGCACGTTTAAGAGAATCAAAATCTGCTACCTCTCATTTCAAAGCTAAGGGATGACAATGCATATGTAAGATGCAAAGTAATGCATATGTAGGGTTCAAGGTAGAGCATACACTAGCAACAACAAAAATAAAAATCCATTATTTAAATTAAAAAATTAGCAAAAAAATCCATGGTGGATATGGTTTACTGTTGTACAATCATACCCCCTTCAAAGCCGATAAATTTATCAATGTGTCGAGAACACGATCCGGTATACTGAGTGTAATAATGCAATTGGTTGGAAACTTGAAAGAAAAAATTTTCAACCAATTATATTACTACATCAAGTATACCAGATCATGTTCCCGATACACTGAAAATTCTCTCCTCAAAGCCAAAGTATAGAATCAATGTTATTATTAGTACTCATTGAAAAATATGCTCTCACTGAATAAAAAATAAAAAAAAAACTGTGCTGTTTGAAGAGATAATGAAGGGATGGGATGGCTCGCTGAGGGAATTATTGTTTTACTAAATCATTGGGGATATTATTATTTAACATGATTAATTTTCAAGGCTTTTTTTCAGAACCATAGCCAAGAATCGTATGCGCCTTGGAGAATAATCATCTTGCTCAGTTTTTTTTTTTTTTTTTTCTTTACTTGAACTTTTATTATTACATGCATGTTTATAATTAGGACAAATTGTACGTCTAAAGGATTTGTATAATTGAAGAATGGCATCTTATTCTGGAATATGAGAAGCATATTCTTATCTATGACATGGATTTGAGGAGCTCAACCTTGTGCAAACATTCGGACACGGATCCTCTAAAGATATTGCCTTTTTGGGCAATGGTCAAAAATACCCTAACTAATGTGCCAAGAATGGTGAGTAGAGGGTAAACTAAAATACATGCATATAATTAAGTGTTCTAATCTGAATCGTGTAACATATCTAAAGTTTTAAAAAACGAATAATATATCAATAGTGGTGAGTACATGATGAACTGAAATGGAATGGACATGTTATGTATACTCGCAAAATTTCTCCGAACAAAAACCTACCAATACACCGACTAAAGTATCACAATTAGTCCTATCTTATGGCTGGTTTAGTATTGTTGTGCTTTGAAAAAAAAGCTGTTTCTGCTGTGCTGTGAGAATAAGCAGCTGTAAAATAAAGCAACAAAGTGTTTGGTAAACTTTTTTGTAAAAGTGCTTTTGAAAAAGAAAAAAAAAAGCAGTATTATAATGTTT